GTCATTCTTTTAAGGGGAGGGGGGGGGGCAGGGCTGGGAGGCTCTATGACAAGGACGGCAGGATGAGGAGGAGTTTCTTCGAGGTAGAAGCCGTCAAGCACTTCAAGGTGCTCTGTGCTTCGCCGCCTTTGTCGTGGGTGACTTGGGAGCTCAGGTCTCCCCCCTTGACCTCTCTTTCGTCAAACCCTCCTTCCTCTCCCCCACCATCTTCGCCTATCGGCTGCTGAAGAAGACGGGGGCGAGTACGGCTGGTCCCTCAACCTCGATCGACCTCGAGGTTCTCGACTGAGCAGTCACTTGTCAACTCGTCAACTTTGCGAAGTCATCAGGCAGCGACGAAGTCATCCACAGCTAATCCGAATACTTGCCATGACATTCTGCGGTTCCTGTCATAAGCTGATGTCCAAGCTGCAATACAGTCTAAGGTGAGGGAACAAGAAACTTCCATGGCATTGAATTATTGATGTACAAAATCTTGTCAACTCAAGGACAAGAATCGTCAGCACAGTCTCTCAAGAGATCAAAGATGCTCTTCATCCGAAAATCCCACAGTTTCATTATGTCCTGTCTCTTCCACCATAGAAAGCTTTCGATCTCTTCTCTTACTCCCCATTCCTCCTCTTCGCAAACTCCTCTCTTGCCCTTCTCGGCCTTCCATACTCCTTCATTCCTTCTCGGTCCATGATTCCGCCGACGAGGTGCTTCCCAGCCCCATCCCGAGCTTGTCTTCCGCGCTCGAGTAGTCGTTCCAGTAGAACCTGCCCACACACGTCATGACAACCCCAGACGCCCTCCTCCAGCTGACGTCTTGCTCGGCGAGTTGACACTCTCGCGGATAATCTGCGGGCCGGGTCAGCCCGCTACCTCTCTGCTGGTGCTGGTGCTCCTTCACCTCCATCGCCAAGTTCCACATCTTCGAGCTCTTGACCGCCTCCTTGCTCAGCTTGCCCGCCGGGACCTCCGAGCTCAGCTGGGGAGAGACATCAGTTGAGGAGGAAGAGGAGGAGGCGGGCGGGTCACCCAGATGTGATTGATCTTGTTCTTCTCAACGCGGTAGAGGGCAGCCAAGACTTCTCCTCCCCCCGTCGCACTTCTGACGTGGCAAGAATGTCATTCAAGTGCGTCGAGAGAGGATCGAGTCGCCTACATGCCCTTGGCCGTCATCCCTGGGCTCTTGCTGGCCGGGTAGACGTGCAGAACCTTCAATAGAGTGAGTTGAGGGAGATGAGCGACTACGAGGAGCAGATGGTGATGAGGTGAAGCAGGAGAGGAGGAGAGGAGGAGAGGAGGAGAGGAGGAGAGGGGGGGGGAGCGGAGGACGGGATATGAGAAGAGGAAAATGAAGGCCACCAGCGTTGGCTTCGACTTGTCTTCGCTTTCCACATAGATGCTGCACGACGGCTCTGCACTCCCACCGCCTTCCTTGCTCGACCATGCCTGCCTCATGCGATCAAGTGGCGCCTCCCATGGGGTTTGGGGACCTTGAGCACGTTCTGACTTCCTCGCATCAACACAGCTCCACTCTCGAGTTTAGAGATGCAGACGTTCTCTTGCAGGCACTGGGAAAGTCGACGGCGCATCAGCAGCAGGCAGACGAGGACGTGGGTACCTGCTCCAGCGTCTCGGATCGCATCTTAGACTCCTCCGAGCTCCAAACTTCGCAGAGCATGTTGGCAAGCTGCGGCAGTTCAGATGAGCTCGACATCGCTCGTGCCTGACCTGAGTGGCGGAGAAAGAGAAGGAGTTGTCGTCCGAGCTCTCTGCATCGCTTTCGTCCCTCCTCTTCTTGTTCGAACCTTTGTCTCTCTCTCTCCGATCCCTGTCCCTGTCCCTGTCCCTGTCCCTGTCCCTGTCCCTTCTGTCACGACTTCGGCTACGGTCTCTGTCTCGATCTCTTCGGTCGCGATCTCGGGAGCGCGAGCGGGATCGGTCCCTTCGATCTCGATCGCGACTGCGTTCGCGGTAACGACGCTCTCTACTTCGGCTCCTTCCTCTCCGACGGTCGCCACTCCTGAGACCAAAGACAGTGGTCAGTCAAACGCTCGATGGCAAGTTTCTCCTGCTCCCTCCCCACCTGCTCCTGTCCCTGCGACGTTCTCGGCTCCTATCGATGCAGACCACACGTCACCAAACAGAAAATCAGCAGTGTCCTCCGAAAGAGGACACGAAGAAAGGAGCGCTTTGATAAATCACCTGCTCCTGTTCCGCCCTCGTCGGTCTCGATCTCGACTGCGCGATCTCGAATCCTCAGGGCTCCTACAATGTTTGTGAGCATAAATCAACGAGCAAGTGAGCTCGAACCTGTCCCGCCTGTCCCTGCCTTCACGGTACCGCCCGCCATCGGTGTCTTTGTCTCGGGCGCTGAAGAGAAGCCATGAGCGAGAAGAGGGAGGAGGAAACTCGAGCAACTCAGCTCTCACCTGCCCTCGCTCTCCCTGGATGAGTTGCTCCGCTGCCCAATCACCTCCCCGAACTCGTTCCTCCTCACGTTCCCCAGGGCTCCTCCTCCTCCGCCTCGTGATCTGATCCTACAGTAAGAACGCAGGGGGCGAGGGGGGGAGAGGAGGAGGAGGAGAAGGAGGAGGAGGAGGAGGAGGAGGAGGAGGAGGGTGGTG